CTTTTGAGAAATGTATTTGTAAGACTTGGAAATGAATGTTCCATCTCTCCTAGCCTGACTATTGGGGTCCAAAATTCTGGAGGCTAGTAGCATTCTTGAGTCCCTCTGCGGGGATAATTCAGCCCCTCCCTGTGGGGTGCTTGTTAACAGGAAGGACAGATCACTTTTGTACTATGCAGACTCAGGGCCCAGGCCTCCAAGTTTGATGATGTTGCCCAAAGGAAGTCAGATGTTGGCTGACTCTCCTACACATTCTCTGTTTGCATTTTCTGCAACTGGCAAGAGAATACTGTCCTATGGGCCAAATCCTCTCCTTACTTTCACTTGGCCTATGGAAAAAGGTCCAAGAAGTGATGCATCTATAGTTAAAAAAACAACTTATTTTTACTCTCTTGAAAGAGCGGTCTATGTAAACTCACTTGGAAAAAAAAAATCAGTCAAAATCCATAAAAGAGAGTTACCTAAATTCTTTTTGTGGAGAGAATTGGGAAGATTACACTTACTCATTTACATGGTTTTTTATGCACTGAAACTGGTTTTCAGAAAAATAAATTTGTTGTTTGTCTACACCACTTTTATACTCATGAACCTTGACATATGTTCACACATCTTCTATATTTGCAATCAATCTGTGTACATACTCTATTTTTTAACCTAACATTGTTTTGTCTATGTACATATAAATGGTAATCTTTATGTGTGATTTGTTGAACCATTTCCTAAGTGTTTGATGGTTGAATTATCTCCACTTTCGTTATTGTAGGCAATATTGCTATCAACAACTTCGTACAAATTATTATGTTTCATTCTTTTGGCTTTTTCTGATGTCCATTACTAAAGGACTGCCATGATCTGATCAAAGGCATTCACTGACTTTAAAAATAAAAACCCAGGGCATAAAACTCTAAACTATTAAAAACAAACAAATAAAATAACTCCTTCCATTCTGGGTTATAACAGTTAAGAGAAATGCAAAAGACACAGAAATGGGAGAAAATAATTCATTCATGCATTCAACAAATATTTGAATACCTACCATGTACTAGGCACTGTTCCAAAAGCAGGGGGCCCATCAGTGAATAAGAAGCCCCCAAACCCCTGCCTTTGTACAGCCAATATTCTAATGGGAGAAGGCAGATAATAAACGTAATAGTAAGTGAGCTAATTATATAATAAGTTAGAAGGCGATCTGTGCTGTGAAACAAGAAAAATAGCAGGCTAAGGGGAATCAGGAGTGGTAGAGGAACAATAGAAGGATGTGGGTTGCAATTTTAAACGCGGGTTGGGAATAGCATGACTGAGTAGGAGAGTTTGAGCAGAGACTTAAAGGAAGTGAGGAAGTTAGCCTTGCAAGTCCTGATGAAGCTGCATCACAGGCAGAGGGAACAGCTACCAGTTAACAATGCTGGATATCCTGGAGAGACAACTAGGAGGCTGGTGTGGCTGGAGCAGTGAGGGAGGGCTCAGCAAGGTCCAAGGCTGGCAGGACCCACATCGGGTAGGGTCTCCAAGGCACTTATAAGGATTTAAACTTCAAGGAGGCTGTGGAGAGTTTATACTGGATTCACTTTCTTTGAAAGGATAGATGCTGGACCTGTCCTTAACCCCTGAACCAAGTCTCTGGGATGGAACTAGGGAACTGGTGTATTTCTGGCAAATTCCTCAGGGTAGTTCTGTTGTGCATGTAGGTTCAGGACTATTCTTTCTGTTCAAAAGCCCCACAATTCTAGATATAAAATAATTTAATAAAAGGAAGCAAAAATTTCATAGCACTCTTGAGTGTTGGTGATTTAGAGACTCTGGGGATTATCTAGGAAACCGAAGCCCAGAGGTTAAGTGACTTGCTCCAGGTTACACAGTCACAAGAAGCAGCACTTGGTTTCAGATTCACCCGTCTAACCCTGAGCTCAATGTACCCTCTGCTGTACTGGGCTGCCTAATGAGCGATATCATTTCACTTATCAGGTGGTTAGACTTCCAATAGCTCCACCGTTGAGAACATAGTTTGAATTCAGAAGCTCTATAAGGTTGATTGGTTAATTAAATATTTGGTTATCTAAAAATCAATCAAAAGCTGCTATTGTTTTAACCTGTATAGCTAAGAATCATTCAAAATGTATTAATCACATTTTCTGCTTCTCTAGAGGAATCCTGAAGAGTCATGCCATCTTAGAATTGGAAGGGACCTTAATTGTTCAGGATCTTGCAGTGCCTTTGGGCCATAATTTTAAAGTTAGCTCTTATTTAATACTATTATAAAACGCACAAGCCATTCATGTGACCCTAGACATATTGGAGGTTGTGTTTTACAATATATTTCTGATTTAGTTTACTTTCTTTTGATTTGCTTCTTGGACATTTTCTGCTGCTAAATTTTTCTCAAGTTAACTAAATTTTTTAAGTAAGTGTTGGTCTTTCTGGCCTTATTCTGTAACTTGGGCCTACATTTTATCAGCAGTGTCTGAACTTGTAGTCTTTGCTGTCACCTGGGATGCATTGAAGTGGTCAGTAGCAATTGGTCCAGAAATCGCTTCTATAAGCAAGAACTTGGGCCTCAGAACTAAGCTGTGGAATGATTCCAGTGAAACCATTTCTCTTCCACTTGCACACTTCTGCAAGTTTCAGCAGCCAGATCTGTTCCAGCAATGGGGGCAGGTTGCACATTCCCACTGAGAACACTTGGTGGAGATGATAGGGACACATTATTTTTTTCTTTCACTAAGCCAGAATTGGCAGTTGAAGATGTGTTTGTGCTACTGGCTGCTTTGGGAATGGGAAGAAAAATGTATATCTAGTGCACTTCCCCTTCTATCTTCTGTTCCAACAAAGAAGTTGCACTCAATGAAAGACACCGGTCCTAATATGAAATGTTCAGTTAACCCACTAAAGCAGCCTAGTCCTATTCACTAGCTACCTTGAGGTCACCTTCACTTTCAAGGCTTAATTATTCTTATTTTTAATGTAGAAAGGTCAACCTAAATTTGTTTCTGGGTGACTTGTAGCTTCATGATTCAGCTCCTAATGTTCTCCACCAGAATTGATTGTAATTTCTATTTTATCATAGTCTTCTTGCCTTTCAAAGCCTCAGTGAGTGACTGGTACCTTTCTCTGGGTGGTTTCATCGAATTCCTAGAGAAAACTCTGAAAAAGTAGACATGTGCCATGAGATTTCGCATGGGTCTAAGTGTCAATATGTGAAGGCTGTCATTGGCAGCTCTATGAAAGGTAATGACTGAAATGCAGATATATGAGAGAATCACAGATAAGCTTAGGAATGATTAAACCCTGACTTCACCATTACATCAGGGACTAGTATAGAGACAAGTGGTTTTGTAATTTAACTCTGATGTTGTTTTCCCAGGTCTCAAATTGTCCTTTAGAAGTAGAGCAGATGGTAGCTATGAGGCTTAGTTTGAAATGAATGACTATCTCCATAGCTCAGTCTCAACCGTTTAATGTGGTGTTCTTATAGGCCTGGATGGGGCAAGCAAGCATAGTCCTCAGGCAGCCTGGAAGGGAACTGTGGTGGAGGCTATGATGCCAGGAAAGGACTTACTCCTCCAGCTACCGGGAGTGCTGCCAGCAGAAAGCCCTTGGCTCAACTGACATCTCCTAGGGGCAGTGCCTCAGCTGAAGAGAACCACCTTGCCCAAGGTCGCTGAGGTGGCCTGCATGTAAAGACTGGTCCATGCTGGGATATAAAGGCCCATCAGAACAACTCAGAACCTAGTCCCAATTCAGAACAACTGTGAAGCATTTTCCCAGCTTCAGAATCCTCCCTGCAGGGAGGCCTGAGGCTTGGTCAATTTCACCCTCTGCTCAAACTTGCCTCCCTCCTTTCCCTCCCTTTATTTCCTTCCACAAATGTTGACTACAAGAACACTTCCTAAAAAGCCTTCCTCTGGTGGCTGAATACCATCTCGGAATCTGCTTCTAGGAGGACCCAATCTGTGCAGAAATTTTATGAGTAATTTCCCTGTCCATTAAAAAATATAGCATAGACTTTTTCCAGGTTAGCTGGAGATGAAAATTTTTGTATCAAAAACAGAAAGAGCTAAACTGAGAAGAGAAGCAAAAGTAAAAGAATAAGGTTAGACTCTTTCTCTGTATATCTGAATTTGGGATTGAGAGTGATACCTTGCTTCTCTGTGAAGGTTAGGAACTTTCTTTTGAAGTCTTCATCCAGTCACATCCAAGACTGGTACAGGAAGATAAAGGAAAATTAAAAAAAAAAAACAAAAAACCGTAACATTGGATACTTATTTGTGCCTTGCATTCAGCCTCTGTTTTCGCCCTTGTTTGTATAAGCAACTCTAGCTAAAATCCTTTTTTAGGTCATCTAAGTATCTCGATGTGCCATTGTGGCAATCGGGCAGGAATTACTGTGGGAACCGGTGACTGAATGGGCAGTGGTGTCTTGCAGCTAGCTGTAACTCAGAGTTTGCAAGTGAAGGATGGGCAGCAGCCATCCTTCTGAAGGCATTCTTCCGTTCCTCCAGCGCAGCCTAGTCTGGGGGTGCCTTACCAAGGGGAGTGAGGGAAGGCCTTGTTGACTGCCCAGCCCAGAGTGTGAGGAAGAGCAGTTGACATGGGCGGCTGGATGGGGTAGAAGCCAGCTTAAACATTTAGTGACACCCAAGGAAGAGATAAAAACTGGGGGAGAAAGCCAGGAACCATCAGACAGCTTCTTTCTGTTCTTTCCTTGAATCTTAGGGGAACGTGTGTGTTCAAGGGTTCCATCCTCCGCAGGGCCTCCCATCCCTTGGCACGAACTTCCAAACTATGAGTAGACATGGAATGGGTTCTTCTGAAGACTGGGTCACCATCCAACCCAGCCTTCGGAGTAGGCGGTGGGGCTGGGGGAAGAGGACGGAACAATGAGGTCTCTCCACTCCCCAGCTGTGTTGAGAGGGGAGCAAGCGCGGTGGGTGGGCCTGGGCTGTAGGGTCCCTGCCATTTCGGGAGGGGCCTCCTGGTGTTTAACTCAGGGATGTGTGAAAATGTGTTGGTGAAAAGCGAGTGGCTTACAAGGCCCTTCAGGGGAAGAGGGGCTGGGACGCAGGGGGCGGCGTCGGGATGAGTGTAGAAGAGACGAGGCCTCTGGACAGCGGAGGAGGAGGGGACGGCGCCGAGGCGCGGTGCCAGCTGCCGTGCACAGGGGCCCCGCGGCGGATCCGAGCCGCGGGCACGCTCTGCCCAGTCCCGAGAGCTCGGGGAGCTGCGGGAGGGGCGGAGGGGCGCAGTGGGGCCCGGGCGGCTGCGGCCCCGGAGCCTGGGCACCTGAGGAGGAAGGAGGGTGGGAGTGAGGGAGGGAGGGGACGGGCTCAGACCGAAAGTGGGGAAAGAAGGTGCAGGCGGGCGGGCGAGAGGGCAGGCGCCCTGGCCCAGGGCCGCGGGTGCGGGAGCCCGGCGAGGTCAAGCTGGGCGGCGGCGGGGGCCGTGCCGAGGGAGGAGGGGAAGGCGGAGGCGCGGGGAGCGTGTTTGGGGCGCCGCGGCGGGGAGGTTAGCGGCCGCCGGTGCGCGCGGGGCGCTGTGTGTGCGCGCTCCCCCGCTCGGGGAGGAAGATGGCCCAAAAGGGAAAGTTGGGGTGACGCTCGCTGTCCCTGGAGGCTCGGCGGGGGGCATCGCGGCCAGCCCGACGGAGGGGCGGACGCACAGGCCGGGGGGCGCGCAGTCCGGGCGCTGCCGCGGCCGCCCACTCACTGCAGGTGGCAGCCGGTGCGCTGGGTCCCGGCGGCCGCGGGCGCAGGCGGGCGCGCGGGGGAGCCCGGCCGAGGGATGGGCTGCGCCCCCAGCATCCATGTCTCGCAGAGCGGCGTGATCTACTGCCGGGACTCGGACGAGTCCAACTCGCCCCACCAGACCACCAGCGTGTCGCAGGGCCCCGCGGCACCCCTGCCTGGCCTCTTCGTCCAGACCGACGCCGCCGACGCCATCCCCCCGAGCCGCGCATCGGGACCCCCCAGCGCCGCCCGCGTCCGCAGGGCCCGCGCCGAGCTGGGCAGCGGCAGCAGCGCAGGTTCCGCAGCCCCCGCCGCGACCACCAGCAGGGGCCGGAGGCGCCACTGCTGCAGCAGCGCCGAGGCCGAGACTCAGACCAGCTACACCAGCGTGAAGGTAAATGCCCCGTGCTGGCACACACGGTGGGGGCAGCCCGCCCCGTCGACGGGGCTCGCACGGGTAGGGGGCTCCGGGCGGAGTTGAGTGACCGTGACGCGGTTGGTTTGAAGCGGTTGTCACCAAGGAGGAGTTTACTTTTCATTTGTGGAGATGATGGGGGCCCAGGAAATGTGGTCAGAAAAAGGCCCCTGGAAGGGTCCTGGGAGTGTCCTTAGCTGGTCCTCGGGGACTGGGCGGGGAAGGGAGCACAGAGGGAAGCAGGTGGGCTGGCCTGTTCCTCCCTTAGGGCAGGAAGGCGGTGGCTTGGTTTATGCAGGAAGAGGGGTGGGGACCATTGAGAGCTTTCGGTGGCCAGTCCTGTTGAATGAAATGTGAGCACTGAGCTGAATTTACATGCCTTGTAGGTGACTGATGCAGTTGCAGCATCAGGATAGATAGTGTCCCGTATTGTGATTTTTACCTGGGATTACCAGCTAGGCTAGAGTCTCAGCACAGGGACCGAGCGTAGCGATTTGTGAATGAATGAGTGTTCGTGTTTTGAGAAGAGATGTGGGAACCGTGCAGAGTGGAACCTGTTGTTTGTCATTGTAGCGTTTCTCTGGGTTGGCTACATCCTAGACAGAATTGAGAGAACCGGGGCATGAGTTCAGAGTGTCAGCAGAGCCACCGTGAGGGGACGTGGTTTCCAGTGCAGTGCAGCTGTCTGAGGATGATTCTGCACATACATCTGATCTTTCCGGAGAGTGGGATTTTTGAGGAAGTGGAAAAAATTGTTTGGATGGTTAACGCAATCGTTAAATGTTTATTTCTTAATTGCAGAAGAAAAATGATTATTTAAATACTTCCCTCCTGTATGTTCTCTAAGTACTATTACATTTAAGAGGCTTTTCATTGTGTAAATCTGGGCACTGGGTCTTTTTCCCTTATAGCAAACAAGATGACAGTGGCATATCCCATTGTACACAGAGGAAAAAAATACATCTCTATGACTCGTCATGTGAGATAGAATCACAGCTTTTACCTGGTCAATAGATTACCAAGAACCATTCCATGGATTATTTGTCAAAGACACATTTGTATTTTTTAATAGTTAAAAACTTGGTCTTCATTGGATGAAGTCGGCCCACAGTGGAGGAGTGAGGAGAAGGATAACATGTTTTGGCCTCAATCTGGAAGTCCAAAAGTTTTTTAATGAACCTAGTGCTTTTTTTAAACAGCATCTGATTTTGTAACATGAAGCTTAACTGATGTTTGCTTGTGGTTGTAGTGTTTCTCTGGCAATAATCATAATCACCATTATAATAAATATACCATTTATTGAACACCTACTATGTGCCAAGAATAGGCTTTCTCTCCTAACTATTGAATGTTAACAGTGTGATCTCAGCATAGCATATCCAAATACTAGAGACTAGGATTCATGACAATATGAACCTACCAGTTGCCCATTTGTTACAGGGGCATGTGCTGAATGCTACACTTTGCTTTTGTCAAGCTCCCTGTCCCCATCCCTGTTCACACAAAGTTAGCTTTAGGAGCAATATTCAGGAATGAAAATGTTAAATTTAGTGAAAATATTAAGTTGGGATATTATCAGTAAAGAGCATCCTTTTGCCTGATTGTTGAAGACCTGAAGCAGTAGTTCAGAATGGTGACAGCTCATGAATTCATCATGAACTTTGTGATACTTTTTTTGGTTGCTCAAGAGAAATTGTGAATTTTTGTTTTCCAGAATAACAAGAATCTCAATTTAGTACTTGGCAACTATAGCTACTCCATGTTTGTTGAGTAGAAGAAAGAATAATGAATGAACCCATTCTCTACATTTTTTAATACTTTCCTCAAGTGGCTACTTAAAGACCAAATGAAGTAAAAACTGGAGGGACAATGATTCCCAATTATTAGCAGCTTGTATAAATTTGTATCAATTTCATTGCTACTTGGCTTAAGTGTTAAAAGGCTTGACCTGGGTAGGAATTGAACTCATTTTGCTTTATCAACAAGATTTCCAAATAAGACCTTAATTCACTCTAACTTATTTCTGGGAATATTGGAAATGATACTGCTGCTTCAGTGACCTTACACTACTTTGCATGGTGTGGATCTCAGAAACCATATATTCGAAGTGAAATTGGAGACCAGAGTCACTTTTGCAAATCGACCAAAATTATTATCACAGAATTATCCTCATCTATTTAATAGTATCCTTTTAGGCCTTGTGACTTGGTGTTGTATTGTCTTTTCTCAGTCTTAAAGTTCACATGTCTGTGCCCTTTTGTTGCTGAGATAATTTTATAGAAATTTTACTTTCGTTTTTTGTAGACTAAGCATTCTTCTTTTTTTTGCCTTAAGAGTTTGAGATAGCTGCTAGGCGCGTAGTGGTGCCCCACCTCTTTCCAAAGCATGCAGGTGGAAAAGTAAAATCTTTACCATTTGATCCTGTTTACAGTGGTGGTAGGTTGTAATAGTTTGCACCCCCCCCATCATTTTACATCAATTATAAAGTGTATCCTCATTATCTACTTGGCCTCTGGTATTCCCCAGAGTGCAAAAATGTGTGCTTGATCTCTCTCTCTCTTTTCTAGCAATAATTCATCTCATTAAGCTTTTAGAATGATGAAGCATTATGATGTCAAACATGATGTCAACAGGAACCTTCCTGAATACCTAATTTGCAAAAAAAGGGACTATAAGCATTAATAATTCATATGCAGTGCAGTGATATCACGGGTTTCCATTTCTGGTAAGAAGTTAGATTTGTCTCCCAATTGCTGTAAAAATGCAACTTCCTAGCAATATCTCTCCCTTTTGCTTGCCTTTTTAAAAATAGTACTCCAACAGGAGAATCCTGCAGGATGCTCACTGTTGATATTGTGCCAGTTTTGTAATTTTTGTTCAGAAATCCTCAGAGGAGATGGTTGAACCTCTCTCTGAGAAGAACCAGGGATTCTTACAAGTTTTCTCATAACAGCTGTTCCTACTTGTGAGCATCTGGGACTAGGCAGCCAGTTGTAGAAAAGAATCTTTATTGACAATACTGTCAACTTGCTATGACCTCTGTGTAGGTTAACTCTTTTGTGGATCTGGCACTGGACACTGTTACTTTCCAGATGGCAGCTTCACCAGCTCCCCGCTTTTTCTCCATTCATACAGAATGTGCTCATTTATTCATTCAGTATCAGTGGCCAGACTCTGTTATAGGTGCTAAGGATTCAGGGGATATCCATGAAATTTGGTAAGCAAAGCCTAATGAGAAGGATAAATCTCTTGTAAAATGGTGTGCCTAAACCAGTCATTAGTGACTTCTATATTTCTGTTCTACAGCACTCCAGAATTTGTAAGGATAATCCTGAGTTGACTATATATAAAAGGAAAATAAATAGATATTTCACTGACTTATGGTAGATAATAACGAGATTTTGTTTGGGGGAGGAGTAGAGCTATTTTGGAAAGAGTCATTTTTGTTTTCTAAGTCAGTGTTTTGAAGTCAGACTTTAGTGTACATCAGAATTGCCTAGAGAGCTTGTTAAAATATAGATTGCTGGACTCCACTCCCAGAGATTCTGATTTAGTAGATTTGGGTGGGGCCTCAGAATTTGAATTTCTAACAAGCTTCCAGATGCTAGTGTTGCTGAGCTGGGGACCATACTTTGAGAACCACTGCTTTTTAATGAATTAAATTGTCTGTTTGTTGACCAGGTGAATGAGGTAGGGCCATCTCTAACAGAGTGCATAGTACTACACTGTCTGTATTTGGGGTAGTAGTCATAGCACTGCCTTCATCTTAGTTCATGTTTGTATGGGAAATCTGCTCTCCCTGTACACGAAGTCAAACTCTGAGCCTCTGAGATTGGCTGAAACATCTGTAAGTGAGGAGAGTGCTGGATCATGTAGCCAACTGGATTTTTGAGGTTAAGTTTTCCCCAGGATCCTTTTGGGTTTGTATAGGTCGTAATATCTTGCTTTGCCACCACAAGAGAAGCCTAAAGCAGGGCTGGATGTTACATGATACAGGCACATATTCTCTTCTCAGCTCTTGGAATTCTTGCTAGCCCTTTCACCATCATTTTCATTTTAAAATGGAGTATAAAGTTTAGTAAGCTCAAGTGAGTCCTGCAAGCTGATTTCATAAAATCCAAGTTTGCCTTCTGCCATTGTATATGTGGTTACAATTTAGTCCCTCCTTCTCCCAACACATTAATTAGAATGAATCAGCTCATTTCCCTAATTTTCATGACTTTCTTCAGTAGTTCTATGAATGGTTAAGGACCATCAGGTAATTCTTCCTTTTGAAGGTAAGTAAGTCCTCAAGCCAGGATGTAACATAGTATAAGCTGCCAGCTGTTTAGAGATGATACAGTTTCTACTGAAGTTCTGTTCTGGTGACCACAAGGCATGGCCTGGGCACCAGCAGGACAGGACATGCTGGTGAGGACAGGGCAGATCTGTGGCACTAGACTGGTCATACTTTAAGGCCAGTAACCAAAATAGGAAGGAGTGAGTGAGTCCTGTGGAACCAGGTGGGCAGACAGAGTCCAGAGTTTGGAAAACCAACAAAGTTGGAGGGAGCATGTGGGAACACTGGGGCCAGACAGGCAAGAGAAATCTAGAATTTAGGGGTTCCACAAAGGTGACAGCTGTTGAACCAGGTTGATGTTTCTGATTGAAGAATAAAAGGTCTGTACTTTCTATTCTATTCAGCAGGCTGTGGTGACCAATCAGAGGGCCGTAGGCAACTTTGTAAACCCAGCAACAAATGAGGCAAGACCAATCAACCAGTCCTTCCTTGCACCCTGATCAGGCAGAGTCTGGGCAGGAAACAGAGTGCACATCCAAAAGGATTAACTGAGAATAATCAAATGAAGGGACTACTGCAAATGTTTTGGCAGAATGAAGGGAAGACAGCAAATGATGCTGAAGTACTCCTAGGCTAGAAGAAAAGGGAGCTGTTTCCACCCTAGAAGAGTCATGGGGAGAGGGTGTATATTAGTTCCTTT